AAGCAGGACAATTCTTATCCTGACACCCTTCGACCTTATAAAATAGCAAAATATGGAATATCGGTATCTTGTACTCTATTTGCATATTACTGAAAATAATCCGTCATTATTCGACACTAAAATCGGTGTCTTTAATTTTTGTGTAGACGTCTTACCGCACTGGATAAGGTATATTGAATATTCTTAAAATTGTATATTTTCTCGTTATAGCATTTTATTATCAAAACTGTTTAATTATATAAGTAAAAAACCCAAGGTCACAGATTAAGCTGACAACAATTGTTATTGCTTGTTTATTTTTCGATATGAAATATAATTTTCATTTCTATTTGCCAACTAGCTCTATAGAATCATAGATCATCTAGTGCGTTACAACAACGGTTATACGGTATATGGATTTTGGAGAATATGTTATCCACATTACATAAAACTAGAGCATCATCAACTCAAGAAAATTTTAGAATTAAAATTAGACCATGTTAGATATCCCTTGTCTCGGGTTAATAGTTTTAAATTATACGCAGCACAAATTTTGGATGTAAGTCAATCAATTGTCCACGTCTAAAATATTATTGCTCTCCGACATGTAACAAAATTTTTTTCCTGACTTACAAATAATAGATCAAAGAACAAGATGAGCCCACTATTGAGATTTTTCCTAATTTGGAATGGGATGAGTATTACAGAGTATTTGGATTTTGGAAATGCAAAACCTGCAAAAAGAAATGGAGGAGTGCCTACACTTGGATATCTCTTCGTGAATTTATATTTAAAACGTCGGCGAAAAAATTAAAAAATTACTACATGCAACAGTGCATTAATTGCAATGGTGACGCAAAATGTAGTGGTGAAAAGAAAAAAGATAGTGATACGAGCGTTATCTATAAGTATGAACCTCTGGAGTTATCAGATGGCGGCAAACATAAAGATCACTTATGTGCAAAGTGCCAGAGCGGGCAGGAAAACAAATGTACAGGGGGGGACAAAATTATACAACGCTTTTTTTAAATCCTTAATCGACGCTATACATAGGGGACAAAATTCTTTCAGTCTTGACTGATGTATCATCATTTTTTAGTGCGCAGAACATGTAAAAATTGTGTGAATTTTTTTGTCATATACTGTATGTATGTTGTGCATATTTAAAGATTGATGTAGTTGAATTTTTAATTTAAAAAACAAGAAATTATTAAAGATCATTATTTAGGATATTCATATCGAATTATTGCCAAAAATATCAATTGTCATTATATGTTTCTTACCAAAGAAAAAAAACCAGGTCACCCATTATCAATTAATAAATCTGATCGTGATCATTTACGAAAATTAATTCTTAATAATTATCATCTCACACATATACAATTTCAAAAAAAAAGGGAAATAGAAGAAGGCCAAGTTTTACATGTGAAAACACTTAATAAATTTGAATTACATTCTCATATTGCTTGTTGCAAGCCCTTACTTTCAGAAAATAATGTAAAAAGTAAACTTGCATGATGTTTGAAATGTGAAAATTGGTCTGTTGAAAAATGAAGATCTATCTATTGGACTGATGAAAAATCATTTGTTCAATTTTGTACTAGTGCAAATATTTATATTTGGCATACAACTGAAGTAAGATTGTCTTGCAGGAACAATTTTCAAAAGCAAAAATAGAACGTTTATGCTGGATTCTCATGGATAGAACATGGCTTACTTATACCATATTATGGTAAAATAAGTGATAAAACTTATGCAAAATTATTTAGAGAACATTCAATTCCATCTTTCAAATTAATGTTTCCATATGGAAATGGTATATTTCAACAAGATAATGCTTCTGTACATATTACAGAGATAGCAAAAGCTCTCTCTTAACTTTCTAAAAGTTCATATTTGAATCCCATATAAATTTTTGATTTATAGTTGAAAATAATATTTGCAAACATTATTAATCTTCTAAAAATTTTGCAGAATTAAAAAAAAATGATACAATATGAATGAAAATCAATTCCATTGATTTTTTTTTGCAATCTTGTTTATAATATACCTTGTCACATCAAAGTTATGATTAAAGCAAAAAAAAACAACTAAATATTAGATTAATGTATTATTATTATTTTTTTTTTATTGCAAACAGATATTAAATATAAGGCATTTATTAAACATTGGTTTATTATTGTTATATTAACAATTTTTAGTATATATAATAAATAAATTAATTGTAACCTATTGCAACTTTACAATTAGAATTTCAAACTGAGTACTGAAATAGTATTGACTTATAATATATTTAATATATGGGTTGTAATCTACTATATTAAACTTATAGTAAATCCAGTACTAACTTAATATCCAAATGATATCATTAGAAACCCCATTTACAATTAATACACATTGATAACAAGTAAATATTTATATATTAAAGGTATTAAATAGCTAATACTTATTTAAAACAATAATACTATAATTGATAAAAGATTTTTTTATTAATAAAGTTGTCAAAGTTTTTTAAGATGCTAAGCATTTATTAAAAAATACTTGAATTTGAATATTTAGTGTTAATATTTATAGCATATATAGTTTTTTTTATTTAATTTATAATTTTATTAAAATGAAAACCTTTGCTAAATGTTGATTTCAAATGTTATATAATATTTTAAAAGAATAATTCCTTTTTTAAAATAATATTGAATAAAATATTAAACCTTTAAAGAGCTAGATTAAATATTTTTTTCAATCTACAGCATGAGCCTAATTTGTTACACTTTTTATGTTTTTATATATTATATATAATTATATTATATTTTATATGTATAATTAATAATAATTTATTTATAATAACTAGTGACTTTATCATTAATACTTGTAATATTATTTTTATTAGAAAAATAAGTTATAGTAATATAAGCTAGCATGTTTAAACTACATTGATAGTAATAAATCAATTTTGCATAGAGATATGATTTTATAAATAGAAATTGTCAATTTTTTGTTACTATTGTAATATTGATACTTTATGAAGAATTTGTTATAATTTATATAAAAATATCTTTCTCTAAAAGTCTAATTAATATCTAAGGTTAATGATACTATTTTGATACCAAGTCAATATTGGATTTATTATAAGTTTAATATAGTAAATTACAGCTCATATATTAAATTTATTATAAGTCAATATTAAGTCAATACTATTTCAGTACTTAGTTTAGAATTCTATTAATATTTTTTTTATTTTTATTTTGATATATATAATTTGATTATTTGGTTTAAATACTTAGAATCTGGCCTTAAGATTAGGTAAGCAGATAAAGAATTCTATAATATTTGAAATAGTATTAATTTTAAAAAATAATAAGAGGTGAGTTTTTGAATATATATTTATAATATGTATTAAATTTATATCATATAAGTTTATAATTACTTTTATATACAAATAGATCTTCAAGAAATTTAATATTTTTTTATAAAGTCTTAAGTCTGATAAATAAATTCTTTACCTTTAAATTTAAAAAAAAATTTTAGTAAATAATTTATTTTTTGATTATTATAAATTGTCATATATTATTTCTACTTCAGAAAAAAGATAAAGACAGAGAACTAGTAGCAGGGAAACACTTTAGAGGAACATGGCCAATGTGGTATGCTAAAGTTTCTAGAGGCATACAAATTAGTACAATTATGGAGTATATAAGATCAAATGAAAGAGACAATGTTGATTTGTTTGTGTAACAATCCTGTGCTGCGCCTGGGACCCTAACTGCGCCAAGAGACCCGGAGCGCCCCTGAGCGACCCAGACGA